CACTGGCTGCCCTAGCCCTGCCCCCCCCCGGAGCCCTGGCCACTGCAGTGAACAGGTGAGCGCTGGTGGGGGGTGCCGGGGATTCCCAGACACTGGCCAGCTCCCAGCAGCCCACTGGGTGCCCTAGCCCTTTCCGCGAGCAGGGCGCTACTGCTCTGCCTTGGGGGTTAGATGCTCCAGGGGCCCCTGTAGCCAGAGGCAGTGGGGCGCCCTAGCCCTGCCCCCCCCCGGAGCCCTGGCCACTGCAGTGAACAGGTGAGCGCTGGTGGGGGGTGCCGGGGATTCCCAGACACTGGCCAGCTCCCAGCAGCCCACTGGGTGCCCTAGCCCTTTCCGCGAGCAGGGCGCTACTGCTCTGCCTTGGGGGTTAGATGCTCCAGGGGCCCCTGTAGCCAGAGGCAGTGGGGCTGGGGCAGCCTTCCTCCGCCCCCCCACACTGCCCTCTAGCAGCAGGCACCTGCTGCCAGCTACACTGCGCTGCCCACCCCGCCCGGGGTCTTGCAGCAAGCACTGTCTGCTTGCCATGGCTCCCCAGGAGCCGCTCGTCTCTGGCCCTCCACCCCAACGGTGAGCTTGGCTGGGGGGCCCTTCTCCCCAGGACCTGGCAGGCACCGTTTGCAGCAGCTGCCCCCCAGTCAAGTGGGAAATGAGGGGCTGAGCCCCTGTCCCACCAGCTCTCCTGCCCTGCTCCCCACAGCACCCCCTGCTGGGTGAAACTGTCTTGGATTCTAGCCTGGCCCAACAGCTAGGGACCGTCCCGGGCCTCGTGTCCAATGGGAATGGGCGAACCCTTCCTCTGCTGTTCCCTGGACTGCCCCCTCTGCATTGGTGCAGGGCCAGGCAGCTACTTGCCCAGGGCCAGAGGCAGGGGCTCGTCTGGAGAGTGCTGGGACCAGACACCATGGTGATGGGCCAAGTGCACGAACCCAGCAGGGCGCCAGGCCTCCCCCTCAGGCTGTTCTGTGGGGGAAGGGCCCCCCTCTGCATTGGTGCAGGGCCAGGCAGCTACTTGCCCAGGGCCAGAGGCAGGGGCTCGTCTGGAGAGTGCTGGGACCAGACACCATGGTGATGGGCCAAGTGCACGAACCCAGCAGGGCGCCAGGCCTCCCCCTCAGGCTGTTTGGTGGGGGAAGGGCCAGGCTGTCTGCAGGGCTGGGTGCTGGATCAGGGGGTGCAAAGAAGGGGGCAGGTGAGCCCGTCTGGCCGAGGTGGGGGGGAGGAGGCGGTGATGGGGGCTTGGGGTAGGGACTGTGGGCTGGTGAGGGAGCAGGGAACAGCATTAAGTCCTGGGTGCTTCCTGTGGAAGTCAACAGCCCGGGGTGCTGGGTCTGGGCTGAGGGCGCGGTCAGGCCAGCTGGGCAGAGAAGCCCATTGGAGGCTGGAAGCTGAGGGTGCCTCCAATCCCTGTGAAAGTGACAGCTCTTCGGGGTGGGGAACATGCTCCCCTGCCCTCCTGCACCATGGGGGCTCCTGGAAAGGGGGCTCTGCCCGGTGCCCCAAGATCGGGTAGGTTTGGGGGTGTACCCCACGTCTCCCTCACCCCCTTCTTCCCTGGGGAGGAGAGCTGTGTGCGGTCTCCCCCACCAGGGACAGGCCAGACAGGCGCCCCGCCCCCCCCCCCTCCTGGAACCCACACCAGCCCTTGTGCGTGGGCTCCCCCGGGCTCCCCAGCCCAGCACCTCTCAGCAGGGCAGAGGCAGCCGAGCATGTTGGCCCCGTCCCAGGGCTGGTGGGGAACAGTCAGGCCAAAGCGCTGGGTGCTAGGCCCACCCTGCCCTGCAGCAGAGGCCATGGCTAGCTCCCCTTCTCCAGCTCCAGGCTGGTCTCGCCTTCCTGTCGCCCCAGGGGTGCACTGCTGTGATCTCTCTTCCCCTCCCCTCTGATGTCCCCTCCTTTGCTCCGGCCACAGGGGGCTGTTTCTGGTGCGGAGTAAATGTTTATGTGCCCCGAGGCCTGTGCTGACGGGCACCACCAGTCGAAACACGTTCCTGCCTGTGGGCTCTGCTGAACAGCCGCACCAGTGCCCAGCTCGCAGGCAAACCTCTCCCAGCCCACCAGAGCAACTGTGGCCAGCTAGGACTTCTCACCCGCCCTGGCTCCTCTGCGCTGAGCCTGCCTGAGCCGACCATGCTCCCAAAGCACTGCGAGCCAGTGGGGCACGGCAGGGAGGGATATGGCGAAGTGCCAGCCTGGCCCCAGCCCTGTCCAAGCAGAGAGCCAGCCCTTTGCCTGCCTCTGAAATGCAGCCAAGTCTGGGGGGATGCGGCTCGTGTGTAACATGGCAGAGTGCAGAGGGAGGGGCTGAGACGGGCGGGGTTAGGCAGAGGCCTCTGGGCTGCCACAGAGCAACACTCGGCCAGAGCCCTGAGGGGAGGGAGTTCCCAGAGGGGCTGTGGTCCAGCTCCTGGGCTCCAGGCGGGTTTGCTCAGTGGCCAGTGCTGCTGATCCTGGCTATGATGTTAATTTCATTCGGCAAAGGCCCAAGCCCCCCAGCCTGGAGAGCTGCTATCCCCACCTCGTCTAATTGCCACCTTGGGCTCCTCGCTGTAGCAATCAGCAGCCATTGGCTCTGAACCAAACACCAGCCATTGGCTCTGGCTGGCGCCTCGGGACTCCGGAGCAAAGGGCCTGCCCGTGGGAGGACACAGGGAGGTGCACTTGCTGGCTCCAGACCTGGCCCCAGTGGCACCTGTTCCCTGCCAGTGTTGGCTCCAGGTTTTCCCTGGCTAGGCTGGGCTGTGACGGGGCCGGGTAAGCGCCCCCCGAGCAGTGCGCTGCAGGCGGAGCGGTGTCCGGACCCCCCTGCTGGGGCTGTGCGCCGTCTGGCAGTGCAGGCCGGGGTGCGCTGGCGACAGCGTGAGAACAACCGCGCTGGGTGTCCCAGGTCCTGTCGGCCGACTGGCCAGGCCAGGCGCTCCTGCGGGATGAGCAGAATGGGGCAATCCAAGTGATCCCTTTCCTGGCTGTGGGCCGGTGCGTGGGGGAGCCTGGGGTGCGGGGTGT